AAAGTGCTTTCACACACTGATTATTCTCATGGTTCTTCTGTGAGTTCTGTTCATAGCTGTAAATCAACTGGAAAGTGTGCTGAAGTTGATATTTTAATTGGAAAGTAAGAGGTTTTCACCAGAGACCAGCACAGCTGAGACACAAACCTTACTGAAAAACGCCCTTTTTTACATTACTGATGGTTTGTGTTTTGGATGTTTGCTGAATTTATTAGAATTACAAACTGAAAACAGTGTCTTTATCTATTTTATTAATTCAAACATAAAAAAGAATGTTGGATAGATATTGTACAGTACCATGTAGAATATGGTGCTAGGTCAGGGTTCCTTTATGTATTTTTCTGCTTTTAATATTTAACACATGATGCAGCTATCTTGGATTTTGAGGTCGAGGTCGAGAAACCTCTGACTTTCCAAGCCAAATTTGTGATAAGAGAAAGTCTTTAGCTAATTTTTTGACTTGGAGAAGAAAGGATGTGAAGAAATGTCTCTTCCCTTCATAAAGTCTGCTTCAGCTTCTCCTGTGCTGATTGAGTTCAGAAATGAAACGCACAATTCTTTCCTTTGAGTTCTGGAGATCCTGACCAGCTCTGTAGATACTTCCATCTCATTTCTCTGAACTCAAAAGCTTCCAAAGAAAGAAACTGAGCTAGTGTGATCCTAATATTGCATAGTATTTTGATAACATTTGCTTCCAGAAATTGACCTGAATCACTGGTGGAATAAAAGCTGGGAACAGAAATTGGAACAAGTTCATTTGTTGCTTCCAACACGCCTACCTGTATAGCAACAGTTGGCAAAGTAGGCAATTGCTACACTCTGCATGTCACAGCATGTTATCATTCAAAGGAAATTCTTTAAACAGCTGACAGAACACATCCACAGAACAGAGCTGTGTTTGAAAGAGTCCTCTTTGGTCTGGACCAGGAGCCACAGACCCCAGGTCCAGACCAAATTCAGCAATCCTCCAATCATCAACCTGCCATTTAAAAAGAAAATCAGGTGTTCCGAGAACAAATACAAGGATTAAAACTTTTTAAAAGAGTGCTGTGCTTAGACTGCTGTAAATTAAATTACTTTTTCACGTTATGCTGTCACCAAGCACCATGAATACATTCCTAAACCTTAGTTTTAAAAGCCTATTCTTAAACAGAAAACAAGAAGAGAAGGAGAGAACCTGTTGACGAGAATGTTGGGATACTTACATATAGTTTGAAAGAGTTTGTCTAAGTCCTGGGTTGTCTGTGGGTTGGAGTTTTGCTTTGGAACAGTAGAACGTTCAGCATTGTACTTCAGGGTCACAGAAGGATATGTCACTTGTGGAGATTGAGGCACAAATGGCCCGACTGTAGATTTCTCTTTCCCAAAAACGTCCGGGTGTCCAGATGTAATGGCAATGGTAGTGGTCAGGGAGACGGTAGAGGGAGCAGAATGAGGAATAGAGACTGTGATTCCAAGAGTGGGGTTAACCGATATAATGATGGGATCCTGGCCAATGGGTTTAGGATCTAAGTGGGTGGGTGGTTCATATTCAAAGATCTTATCCACAAAGACCCATTTGAGTCCAGCAGTGCAAAGAGCTAAACTAAGAAGGCAAGCCAGGATGGGCAGAATGCAGATTTTTTCAGAGTGGAGGCAACGGTTAATCTGTTCCATCTCTATGCACACACAGCAGGTCGCAGGCAAAGGCACAATTCCCAAAGCACCCTCACGCTCCCCATCACCTCGGCCTTCCTCTGTAATTCCCTTTACACCCTCATCCCCACTCTCACCAGCTGCCTCCGTCTCCTCTGGTTTCTCCTCTGGGACTGGCCCAGTATCAGGAGGCGGGCCAGTGGGGGAGGCCGTTTCAGGAGATGGAGCTGGTCCTGCAGAGTAGTCCTCCATTCCCTCAGTCATCCTTTTAAACTGCTGGAGGAAGAGTCTCTGAATGCTTCAACCATTAAAACAGGGCATCACACAAGTGTGGTCTGCCACGACAGTCTATGAGAAGGCTTCCCAACATGAGGCTGTAGAGTCAGAGGACGAAAAAGCAAAATGCCCTTCAGAGACTGAAAGCTTGACAGTGGTCCACGAGGTGGCAGGACGACCTGCATCCAAGGAAAGACAGCTTTTTACACATGCTTTAAACACAGTCAGGGAGTTGTACTGCAGTCAATTTATCTGCAGGCGAAATACATACACGTATATTAATGCTGTATCTGGTTGAGTCGTGAGCGACGGTAGAAAAGTAGTTGTGACTCACCTGAACACTTTGGCAGGGGAAGGAGAAGGGGCGGTGTCGACGTGATGGGCCGGCTGCAGTAACTGGATCGTCAAGGACAGGCTGGCCGGGCACTGCAGTGGCAGGACGGACATGCTGCCTTGTCTAAAGTGCTCCAAGCAGCTGAAAGGCTGAATCATCAGGGAGCGGCAGGTGTCCTTCCTCTTAGTGCAGCCAAAGAAACAGATGAGTAAGGAGAAAAGGGAAAGAAAGCAAATCCTAGAGAGGGAGGGGGGCTGCAGTAGCACAGTGGGTCAGAGGAGGATGGATACTCCCCTTCTCCTTCTTTCCTCTCTCACTCCTCCTCTCGCTGTCGTTTCTCTCCAACTGGAGTGCACAGCAGCCTCTGGCCTCCTCCCTCTCTGCCTCACTTCCTCTGTCTTTGCAGGCTGCTCCCAATCCAAGCACAAAGCATCCAGCTAAGCAAGTTCCTACATGATCCAATTAGAGTGCATGTCAGCGAATCACAGACAGCCGAACTGCTGTAGCCACCCCTCCCAGCACCACTCCCCAATGACTCTACTGCAAGGCTGGGGAACGAACAGCCAAGCACACATAGGAAACACATGGAGAAATGAATGGCATAAAAGTTTAGTTAATATATTATTGCATCTGAAATATATTGAAGTGAAAAAAAATATTCAAGATCTTAACATATTTAATGTACACAATCTTTAGAGAACAATTTTCCAGGTCTTATTTTTAAAGCATTTAATATTCAAACATCAGAACTTTCTGTGACTGGAAACTGTAATCACTGGTTGATCATTGCATACAGTTTTATCTCAGCAGTCTACTAGCTGCTAATGGGTCAGAAACTAAAACAAACAAATAACTTCATAGGAAATAAATTATTGATGCTCATCAACATACAACTTTAGAACATTTCCCACAGTTACCACGGGAAACAGTTGGATAAATGTTTCAGGAAATGGTTCCTAATGTTACCCATGTGTTCACTGTTCTCAAAAAAATAAGCTGCAAGAGTGGTATAAAGCCACCAGATCCTCATTAAGCCAATTAATGCCCAAGCCCCACCCCGCACTAGCACTGCAGACTTATAAATAGGATAAAAGAAAAATCCAAGGTGGAATTTGGGAGGGGGAGAAGACTTCAACAAGATGAGGAGCATCTAAAAGGTCAGTTTATCATCATACTGAGCACTGACACTCCTGTGACCCTATCCCATCCTCAGACAGAGTTAATACCAGTAATGGTATCTGTGGGGGAGCACTTCCTGTCAGGCCTCTGAATTAGTGACCTGAATATTGATTAACTTCTCAGGATACATAATCTGACACAGGAAGTTCAGAATAATAAATATCTGTGGGGTTTAGGTCTATTACTATCACAGTGTTGTTTAGTCTCTTTAGACCATAAGACAATAAGACCTAAGCTTGCAAATGTTTCATTAGATAAATTATCAACTACATATAGCATGATAAGAATTAGAAAGGATACTTTTAATAGGCAAGTATGAATGTGTTATTTTCATGGTCTTGGTTTGAATATTTGCATTTACAAAAGAAAACTCATAACTCATTCTCACAATAAAACAAAGAAAACATTTTTTGTTGTAGCATAAGAATTTGATAAAGTCACAGTAAATTAAAAGGAGTGTCAGACTTCCATCAGGGACTCCTTGTCCCTGTTGGCACTTACTGGTCAAAACTGGAGTAACACTTTTGTTAAGCGATTTCTGCATTAAAGCTTTTCCAAGAACTTAATGCCAAAATTAAGACACTTAGTGAAGGAGATTTTAAAAAGCCTATTAAATTATTATCTGAATTGTTTACAGATTACAGAGGGGCTCATCTATTAACTGCCACAAAAAGCTCTAAAAACTTCAGGTAACGTCTTCCTTTCTACTGAACATAATTTTAGTTTGAAAAGCCCCATCAATCTCACTGATGTTCAAATCTCTGCCGCTGGTCAATCAGCTTGTCTTAGATTCAGATTAATATAAAGGACACTTTTTACAGTGGCTGCTTCACATCTATAGAACAGTTTATCCCTCTAATCAAAAAAGAAAATAAATCCAATCTTAAAGCCCCTGAATATTGTATTCTAGCTTATTTTTTCCCATTTGGTTCTTGGGAAGCAAGGTAATAGAATCTAAAGTCCAATAAATTGAAACTGCAAAGGATAAAATCAACAAGAAGTTTAATAAAAGTTACCAAACATACAGATCTCACATCTTCACACAAGTATTCCCTTTGTCTATCACTACTGGGACAATGCTGTGTACAGACATCATCTTAACATGTCAAATACCGGTCAGTCGTTTGGTTACAGCTTTAAATACTACTGAAGTTCTTTCAGAAATGTCAACACACCATACCTTTTGTAAGAACAAAGTTTTCAGAAACATAAAGTTCATAATATATTTAACTTGAATTAAACTTAACAGCAAACATCTTGGACTTAAACCCACAGAGGAGGAAAAGCAACTCTACTCTTCGTTCAGACTGCTCCAAATGTTATTGTCTGATTAAAACCAATGCCTGAGAGCAGTGTCTAACTGCTGACTGCTGCTGTGTTTTCACTGCTGAGCAGCCATTTTAAGAGCTCTGCCATAGAAATCAGCTGCAACCCAAAAAGTGAGACCAGGCTGTTAAACTGAAGAATGGAGAAAAACTGCTCTACAAAGACAGCAAACCACAGTACTTCATGAAGCTGAAGTTTCACTTTGGTCAGCATTAACAACAATCATACATTGCTTGATAAAATACTTTTACATAAATAGAATTTTTACATTTTATGGTTGGAAAAAATCCAACAGTTTATCAAGAAATACAAAATATAAAATCTTCAGGGAAAGACATGAGGAAAATCAGAAAGGAAAGATCAGCAAATAAATTACCACAATTTCCAGAATTAAATCATTAACAGTCAAGCAAGTGAACCATTCATATTTCTTAAAATTAATATCTGATACTAAAAATAATCAAAGAATCCTGTTCTCAGTTTTTGACAGACTAACCAAACCAGCCCTCCCCAGTATCCACCAGTAACTCCACAATTACATAGTGTGGAGATTTTGCAACCTACTTCAGAGGAAACATAAACAATATAAGATATAATTTATTTCAATGGCAGCATAAAAATATTACCTCCAAGTCATTGTTAAATGGTGGGGAAACACTGGAGAATGGTTGATGAACTGGCAAGCAGAATTATTTCTTACTTAAAACAGAAAAATATCCTTTAGACCCTATAAGCCATATATTTTTCAAAATTATGCTTTTAATATTAACTATTCTTTTCATATGGAGCGGGGCAGCGGGCTTCACAACTGTCTTTAAGACTGCTGTTGTGAAGCCTCATGGGAAGAGAACAAACCTTAATGTCTCTATTCTAATCTGCTGTGTTTTTAGCAAAATGTGGAGAAGCTTTTCCTTAATCAGCTAAACTAGCAGCATCCCAGTTTTGCATTTACAGTTTTACACAAGCAATCTGTGTAAAACTGTAGTTTACACTATGGTGTCCCCCAAGGCTCAGCACTGAGTCCCAATATTTTGAATCCTTATATGCCACCCACCAACTGTTGGCATACATTATTAGGAGACATGGCATTAACTTTCATAGTTATGCTGAATACACACAGCTCCATTTATTAGTGCGTCCTGATGAGCCCACATCCAGGCACTTTGAAGCTGTTTTTTTTTTTTTTTTTTTACATATTAAATTATGAGAATTTCCTTCATCTAAATTAGGAAAAAATTGAAAAACATATTTGATTCAAACTATGGTTTCTGAAACCATATCAAGAATGTCACTAGAAACATATTTTTATCTTCTGAGGAACATTGCAAGACCGTAACTATTTTTCTAATAGTCCAATACAGAAACTTTGATTCACACTTTTACAGCCAGTACAATCAATTTTAGTAATACTCTGCTTATTAACCTTGCTGAAAAAAATCATAGCTCTATTACAGCCAATTCAGAAGCTGAGCTCACATCATGGCAACTTTAAAGTTTGTATTTAAAGTTGGTGTGCATTTTAGAATTGATTTTAAGTTGTTCTTAGTGGCATTTAAAACTTAATAATGGCCGTAATGTTATAGCCCACCCCATTTATGAGAACTGCTTCTGTCTTCTGAAATGGTTCTCACTGGTACCTACAGTGAGAACTAAATCACAAGGTGAGGCATCGTTATGACCGTCTACTGTGGGACAAGCCTGAAGGTCAGAGGCCACCTGAGAGCTTGGACATCTTGAAGAGCATGCTAAAGACATCTATTCAGTTTGGTGGTTTTGGTTTATACCCATTTGTCACTTCTTAAAGTTAATTATTTTTAATTATTGCTAGTACATTACAAGTATCTATATGTTCTTTGTCGTTTCTACACAAGTTAACATTTTTGCAGTTATTGTAACGTTTTTGTCTATATTGGTATTTTTTCAAATCAAACAGTTTACCATTTAGTTTATGATTATTTTATGTCTTTATACATTTTCTTTTCCTGGTTCTGGGACACTTCATATAAAGCAAGGAAAGATGGATAGATTTACTGGGAAATTTTTGATAATGTGAGAATGAAACAAATGTTAATTTAAAGCAAGTTCCAAACACACAGCCAAGGAAACGCTTAAATCATTTCTGAGATGGAAAGTAAAACTGTTGAGATGGCTCAGTCACCTGTCCTAAATGAAAATATATGGAATGAGCTGAATGTGCAATTAAAAGAACCCTGAAAACCTTTAAGATTTGGAGACATTTTGTCTGAGACAATAGGCTCTATTCCATGTTTCATTCTATGTTTTCAGTCATACATTCACTGGTGGATTGATTTGCTTTGATTGTGTTGGTGGATTACTTGGGTGTGGGTTGTTGCTGATGGTGATCTGGTGTTAAGTTTTACTTGGTGTCCCCATTAGAAACATTTAAGCTGAGAAAAATGTTGACATGTTTAATACTAATGTTACCAGCCTCATTTTAATGCAGGCCAACCTTTGTTTATTTGACTTTGCTTATGGTGACATTGGAATGAGATTTGTTATGCGTCAGCTGATTCTGACTATCACCAAACTTTTTCAAGAGCGATCTTCATACAGCAAAGTGCCACACAAAGCGGCGCTATACAGAGATTAAAAACAGACAGATGGACATGAAGGCACAAGAGACTCCCACATTAGAAAATGTCAAACTAATCAGAGATATAATAAAGATAAAGACTCAAGGGAATATGGACCTATGGGGAGGCAGTTGTGTAGATTACTTATTGCTTAACTGGAGAAACTGCACCTGCTATTTCCACAACTTTTTGCAAGTGGTTCTTGGCTCTTGGACAATTCTTCTAGTTATTGTTTTGACTCCTCTTTCAGAAATCTTACAAGGGCCGCCTGGCTGGTTTATAGTGAAGTCATGTTTGTTCCACATTCGGATAATAGATCCAACAGCGCTCACTAGGAAGTTTAAGAAGTTTAAAAATGCACCTCTGGGGTGCTGAGATGGTGCAGAAGTTCAGCACAACCCACATATGAAGGCCTTAGCCCTCAACGCGGATGTCACAGGTTCAATTGCCGGCCTGGCGACCTTTGCTGCATGTCACCCCCCCTTCTCTAATTACCCACTTTCCTGTCAAATAAAGGCCACTAGAGCCTTTATATTTGGGGGGTGGGAGGGAAAGCAGCTGTAGCCACTGACTGTTTAGGAACAGTAAGCTTTTCGTTGTGTGGTGGAGCAGTTAGTATCATTGCTGCCTTGCAGCAAGAAGGGCGTGGGTTCGATTCCCGGCATGAACTCTTCATGTTCTCCCTGTCCATGCGTAGGCTCTCTCGAGGTACTCTGGCTTCCTCCCACAGTCCAAAATCATGATGTTTAGGTTGACTGGTCTCTAAATTCTCATGAGGTATGAATGTGTGCATGATCGTTTGACCTGTGCTGGACTGGTGACCTGTTCAAAATGACCCCACCTCTCGCCCGTTGACCGCTGGAGATAGACGCCAGAAGGATAAGCGCATTGGAAAATGGACAGATAAGTGATTTTATTTATGTTTTTATTTTTTTGTGAAGGTGTCTTTGCATTTACCACTCATGCAACTTTTTAAAGGCTACCAGTTAATCATCTGATATAGATTTGTACACAGCAGCAGAAATCTTTCCTAGATATTCACAGATTTGAGCTACTTTCTTGGCCTTCTACATCTCTCTGTGAAAGAGACATCTGTAGAAGAGAGATGTAGAAGATGCTTTTCTTCACATGTCCCCTGTTTCAATCCATTTGTTTACTCATAACAGACTTTGTAGACTAATTTGTTTGATTTCTTCTTATGTGTGGATTACTTGGGTCATTCCTAAACTCTGCCAATGGCCATTTTAGAAATATTTATACTGAGAAAATATTGACGTGTTCAAAACTTTTTTTACTCAATGTAAGTTCAAACAACTGATGGTTCTAAATTTATTTGAATATGAAGAATATAATGAAATAAATATGTATGTAAATGCTTGCATATGTTTGGAGCTTGTTGTGCAGATATTTAAAGCACACCAAAGTTAGGTGGTAGCGGCTAAACCTTCCATTAGATCTTCTCATCTTTAAATTATTGCCTAGTTGTTTCCTACATAAAAAACTGAGCTATCAGGTTGGCCACACCCAGAACGATGAGGAAACTGTGGAAAAAGGCTGACTGCCAGGTCAGTCTCCCCTGCTCCCTCTGAGAGAACATGTGGACTAAAGCCGGAAGTAGAAACACTAAGGCCAGTCCACATATTGCTCCAGAAAATCTGCAGAGAGAAATAGATGTATGATCAGTGAATGAGAAAACACATATGGGCCACAGAGGAAAATTGACTGTATTGTAATAATTCAAGAAAACAGAACAAGACTTTGGGTGTCTTTCCCTTTTTGGAGAGAGAACAGACTGCTACTCAGTAGGTTCAGGTTTCTATTTTTATACTAGAAAATGGTGTGTGGGGGGGTTGAGGGGTTTCCTTCCACTTCACAATCTTTCTGTTGGATCATTACATATCCCACTGAAATATATTGATGTTTGGGGTTGTAACATGCACAGATTTAATGTTGTCAGAAGGTGTATAAGTGCTTTCCAAATTACTGTAGACCCTTCACTTTTAAAGATTCAGGTTACCTTGCACATTCCCAAAATACCTGAAACTTGAAAAGGATTATCTTTAATGCATGTTTATATAAAATAGCTTTAGAGATTTTCTGTAACTGTAAAGTTTTGGACTGACAAACTAGTTGGCAGAGGCTGGCTTTAAACCAAACATACTATAGGACTGGACAATCAAATTCATTCTGCTACAATGATACAATTACTGGTCCAATCTCTGTACATTTGTTCTTCTTAAAATGCCATTTATTTAAATTAAGAATTAGAATTAATTCAACCTCTGTTAGGACACTAGATGGCTCTCTGAAGCAAAGTACCAGGATGAGTAAAACCAGTGTGCTACTTGTTAATAGAAGAATATTTCTGCAATAAAGATAATCATTCCATAACAGTAGTTGAAGAATTAATAGCTTTAAACAAGTTTATTGAAGAAGCATCTCCAAGCTAACATTACTGGATATTTCTTTCATAAACAGTTAATAACATAACTCTATACATACCGTATTATAGATCCAATGTTGGGATAAAACATGGACATTAGAACTCCAGCTCCAACAATGAGAATATTCAGCACAAGAATGTGAATGAAACTGAGTAGAGACAATGGGACAGACAGCATTCAATTAGCCTGAACGTTGTTCAAGAGTTTCCAAGAAAAGATCAAGTTCTGATGCCTGGGTGATCCAGTAAGACTTGAAATGGGTAAACTGCTGTGTCATGAACCTGACCAGGCAAGTTCAACACCTACAGTAACAGAAGGAAAAACTGATCTGATGCTCCATTGTACTGGTTCAGATTACCAGATCAGTCACTGTACCAAGCACTCAGTGAAATGCATTAATAATGGAATATCATCAAACAGATTGAACAGCTATTTAAATTGAACATTTCTGACACAGGAAATTAATGTTGACAAAGCTCAAAAGATGCAATCTGAAAACAAGTCATGGTTGGTAAACAAAAAAACTAGAATTTAAAGTTAATTAGATTTGAGTTAATCAGTCATATCTAATAAAATGTATTATATTGCTTTGAAAGTAAACAAAACTGATATTGACCCTAAATTCTAATGGCTATAAATGAAAAAAAAAAGACTAAATCTCCAAATATGAACTTTAAATAAAATTAGTATTCTCCTACCCGGGATAATGATTTCCAAACAGCTGACCCATAATTTGAACTCGTACCAAATAACCCAGCAGAGGATAGACGGTAATCATTTGGAACAGCAGGCACACTCGAGCCACAAACACCATCACATCACTGCTGGGGAAGTTATCTAAAAAGTTCTGAAAAAAAGGAAGAGCACAGTTGCAACTACAAGCAGAGAGTATTAAACAATTAAAAACTAGTACAATACCAACCTTCATTATTGCTCAAAAACATATTACTTTCTAATCACTAGGCTTCATTTATATAGCTGAGATAAATCATTCTCACCTCCATGTCCAATTGAAAACTCCTAATGACATAAACTGCAAAAAAGCTAACTGTAGGCAGAAAATTAACAGTCATATATATGCAGTACCTTGCTAACGACTAGGAGGCGCCCACTGACCACCAGTAGTTGAAGACCACAATTTGAGGAAGACTGGCTTAGATGATTTATAATCCTTTTAGATTTAGACTTAAAATTTACATTCAACAATAACCTTGTTTTGGACAGGAAATGAAAATGGCATCTCTCAAAATAAAATAGAAATCCAAATTAATATCAATCAAAAGATTAACCTATTCCTACTTTTATTTAAAGGTTGGGTCTTCGTTCTCATAGTGTCCAGGTAATCAATGTCTTATTCATTTCATATTTATTTCATTTTCATTGTACCTCATTTGAAATATCTTGTATACCTCATTTATAAGAAATTAGTTAAAGTAGCGGTTCTCAACGTGGGCGGTACCGCCCCCCAGGGGGCGTTCAGAGTACGGCAGTGGGTGCTGGCGGACATTTTTAC